ATCATTTACTCCTCCATGAGACACTTGTCTAGTACATTGGTCGCTCATGTCTCCAGTGCCACGCTCATGCTAACATTCATGTCTGTCTCCCAGCCTTTCACAGCCACCCTACACAGTGGTTGTTACTGTCCTTGTTTTAAGAGGAGAAAGCCATCTGAGGCACAGGGAGGTTAAGGTACTGGCTGAAGGTCGCACAGCAATGAAGTGGCCAGGCAGACCTCAGCCATGTTTGCTGAGTGAATGCAGAGAGGTCTGGGGTCACTCACGTTCCAGGTGGGTGGGTTTACCCCTAATCGGCCTCAGTGCCCCAGTCCAGCCCTTGGTCATTATACCTGTCTTCTCGCCTGACTTGCTGGCTCCAGAGCCCCGAAGATGCCTGAAGATCCCCAGGCCCCCTAAGTGGCCTCTGCTGCTGTTGTGTCAGTCTGCCCTCTCCCCTCCTCTAGGGGAAACTGGACTCTAAGGGCGGGGTGGGATTTCAAAGACTGTCAGGAGGGAATGGAGATGGCAGGAAGCCAGGAAGGGGGGTGGGCCAGAAAGCTGAGGGGCTCCCAGGGGCAGGGCCCAGCTTGAGGCCTCACCCAGCTCAGGGTGGGTACAGGGCATCAGAGGGTGTTGAGTGTCTCTGAAGGTCTCTGTGGGTCTCTGAGGGTCTCTGGAGCTCTTTGTGCTGAAGTGATGGGCTGGCCCTGCCTGGAACTCAGGCCCAGGACCTGCTTTAGTTCGTGTCAGGTGGGCAGGAAAGGGAGTATGAAGATGTGCCCTCCAGAAGCTTCCATCTCCCCTCAGGCAGGGTGGGGGCCAGTGGAGCCCACAGCTTCCCCTCTTCCACAGACCTGGGCATGGCCAGCTGGGACTGCAGCAGGAACTCAGACCCAGGCCTATCAAACCCCTGACATGCTCCAGACCCCAGGACCCCCCAAATGCCAGGAATTTTCAGACACACAAGCCCCAGAACCTAAGCCTCCCAAACTCCAGGACACCCAGGTATACCAGATCCCCCAGACCCACTATCCCAGGCACCAGGTCTGCCTGTCCCCTTCTCCCCCAGAGCCTCAGTGTCTGGTGCTTCCTCCTTTGCTCATTTCCTCTTATTCTAAGTGCTGGACACCACCAACTCCTGACAGGATGTGGTATGTGGGAGATGGCCCACCTGCACCCAGGCCAGCTGGCTCCCCTCCGTCCCTCTCAACCTGAAAGCCTGAGTGTCTTGTGTGTGCTTGCTGGTTAATTTTAATTGAATGTACGATTTGTATTCACATTGTAAAATAAAAAATATTAACGTACATGCTGAGGTTCTCCCTCCCATCTGCCTGCCACTAAGAGGTAATTATGGATTTTTTTTTCGTGTTTCATCCAAAGTTTCTTTAGGCAAATGAAATCTAGAAAATTATTATTATTATTCTTTGCTTTTTTCAGTTAACATTTTCTCTTGGAGACATCTGCTCTCACCCAGGCCAGCTTCTACCCCAGGGCCTTTGCATAGGCTTTTCCATACATTGGATGCCCTTCTCCCATCTCCTTATTCAATAAGTTCCTTTATCCTTCTCAATAGGGCTCTCTTGATCATCCTATTAAAAAGGTGCCACCCTAGCCCTGACTGGGTAGCTCAGTTGATTAGAGCATCTTCCTAATACACCAAGGTTGTGGGTTCAGTCCCCAGTCGGAGCATATACAAGAATCAACCAATGAATGCATAAATAAGTGGAACAACAAATCAATGTTGTTTTCTCTCTCTCCTTTCTTCTCTCTCTAAAATCAATCAATCAGTAAATTAAATATATTTTTAAAAGTTACGATCCTCCCTGATTGAGTCTCACCCTTATTTTTCTCTGTATCACTTTCCACCACCCATTACATTTTCCTAATGGATCCTGCTTGTCGCCTGTCTCTCTGACTGCTACAAGAACCCTACCGGGACAGGCATTTTATTTGTTTTGTTCATGGCTGTATCTACAGCTTCTAGACTATTGCCTGGCACACAGTAGTAGCTTAATAAAGGTTTGTGGAGAAAATTAGTCTTTCCTTGTTGGTTTATAAAGATCTATAATTTTGTTTTCATGACCCTGTGGCACCTTCCCAGGATAGATAAACTATTTTTGATCTAACCAATCCCTTAAGTTGTTTACAATTTTTTTCATATAACAAACATTGCTGCAACAAATCATCTCATTGTCATGTCATCTTTTTGTCTTCTCTTTTTATTGTGCAAAATACACAACATAAAATGTACCATTTTAACCATTTTAAAGTGAACAATTCAGTGGCATTTTAGTGCATTCATGATGTTGTACAACAATCACCTCTAGTTCCAGAACATTTCCATCACCCCAAAAGAAGACCTCATCCCCATTAGTAGTCACTCCCCATTACCCCACCCCTACCCCCACCCCCGTCCAGTCCCTGGCAACCACTAATCTACTTCCTTTTTTTTAATATGCCTTTCTTGGTTTCAGAGAGAAGAAGGGAGAGGGAGAGAGAGAGATAAATACATCAATGATGAGAGAGTCATTGATCGGCTGCCTCCTGCACGCCCCCCACTGGGGATTGAGCCTAACCAGGAATGGAACCATGATCTCCTGGATCCTAGGTCGATGCTCAACTGCTGAGCCACACTGGCCAGGCAACATGTGGCCTTTTGTGTCTGGCTTCTTTTACTTGACATGTTTTTCAGGTTTATCCACATTTTAGCATGTGTCAGTGCTTCACTTCTTTTTATGGCTGAGTAATATTCCACTGTGTGGATGGACAATGTAGTGTTCATCCTTCATCAGTTCATGTCCCTGTCATTTTACAAACATGTAGATATTTACAGGAGTCCCAGGGTGGGATTGCTGGGTCAGTGGGCACATGTGCTCATGATTCTGGTGGCCTGTACCAGGGTGCCTTTCATGGGGGTGGTACTATGGATGTTCCCCCAGCAATGTGTGAGATTGCCTGTTTCCCCACAGCCCAATCAGCACAGGTGTATCGCACTTTTGAATTCTTTCCAATCTGATAGGTGAAAACAAACGATAGCTCAGAGTTGTGATTTACATTTTCTTATTAGGAGTATCTTTGGGTGTGTTGAAGAACAATTTGCAACCCTTTCTGAAAAGACTCAATTCAAAACCTTCGAATCCTCAGAGTTTGGAAATGGGAAGGAGCAAGGTCTGAGGAGAGGGAAAGTACAGGGAGTGGACTGCAGCCTCCCAGAATCTAGAAGGCTCTTAGCACTTATCCCATTTTACAGACGTGGAAACTGAGACACAGAGCAGTTAAGGTTGCGCAGTGAGTCAGGGGCTAGAATGGAACGGAACCCAGTCTGCCAGATATATCAGGACCCCAATGAAGCTGAGACCTTCTCCCAGCCCACCTTTGTCCACTCCCTCCTCAATCTCACTTTTGTCACTATCCTTCAGGTCTAACTCAGGCCCCCCTCTCCCTCTGGGACACCAGCCTCCTCCCTAGGTTCTACCACCAGACCCCTGTCTCACTCCAGATGTATGTCTTGACACAATGTCCCTCCCTAGCTCACACATCTGCTTTGGCTTCCCATGGCCCTGGGAATAAAGCCCATTCCTCAGCCTACTTTGAGGCCTGTGCCGCTTACCCCTTTACACACACACACACACACACACACACACACTCTGCCAGTTTCTCCTCTTAGCATGTCCATCCCAGCCACTCCACTCCTAACCTCCAGTCCCAGGGCCCATGCTTTGAGCCCAGGGCCCAGGGCCTTTGCCCTTGCTGTGCCTTCTGCCTAGAATCTGCAAATGCATTTGTCTCTGCCTGCCACTGCCTGTCACTGCCACTTATCCCCCAAGCCCCAGACTCAGTGTCCCCTAACCCAGGGAACCCCCTCACCACCCCCTCAAGGTGGAGGCCTCTTTGTATATAAGCAAGAGTGCTGAGTCTGTGGGGAAGGCTAGGAGCTTGGAGGTTTTAGGAATCCTCAGCAAACTTCTGTTCACTTGTTGAAGCCCCAATTTTAATGTCTCTTCCTCCAGAAGCCTTCCATGACCGTGTCCCTCCCTCTAGCCCTGTCCTGACTCTATGGGACTAGGGGCATCTGTGTCCAACTGTTTTCACCCAAGACTGGGTGTTCCTCCAGAACTTGGACAGGGCTGATGCCTTTTGGGGGCCCATGGATGATGTCTGTTGAATAAATGAATGCAAGGGTTGGGAGTCAACTGAGCTGACATCAGGAAGTGAGTTGATGAGGTAGTATTGGGTTATTAATGGGGGTTGACTGGGATCCAGCAAGAGGGAAGCGGGCGCCCCTCCCCCTCTCGTGAGAATCCTGGGCCTGGAGGCCTTGCAGAGGGGCGGGTCTTCTCTGAGTCGTCTTCATTCTTGTCCTCTGCACTCTACTCCGACACCAGTTCCTCTTCCCCTGCGTCGCTGGGTGCAGACTCTGAGGAGCGCCAGAGACCACAGGGGATCTGAGAGGGGGCCGGCAACCGTGGCCCTGGGTGCAGGTGATCGACCACGAAGTTCCTCCCTGCGTGAGCTCTCCAGCACCGCCCAGGTAAAGGCGTGGCAATGGGACCGCAAAGGTAGGACAGAGACTAGAAGTGAGGTTTGTGCAGGGGCTGCAAATCAGAGCTGGGCAGCCCCCACCCCACCTGCCCCAGCCCAGGCTCCCAGCCGCTGGACTTCGAGGCCGGACCTTTTGCCCGGCAACCCTCATTTGCATATAGTGCAGTCTTAGCCAATGGGGCCGCCCGAAATGTTGGGGGCCAAGCCCAGGGAACTCGTCTGGGAAAAGGGGAAGGGGATGCCGGGACTGGCACCCAGGTTATGTACCCATTCCCCGGAGGGAAGAGACTGAGGCTGGAGGCCAGGGCCAAATAATGAGGGGGCGACAAGTGAGGGGCTGCCTATTACCTAAAGCGTCCTGAGCTATTTAAAAAAAAATCAAGATAAACTAATAATAAACCCAAGTGTAGAGGGTGAGGGCGACCACAAGAGGAGGTTGGGGCTTGGATTCCGGTGTCTCTGCCTAGGTTGCTTGAATGGGGCGCGCCCTTGCGTGGGCACTGTGGTTGCTGCTGCTACTGCAGGATCCATGCAGCCTGGGATTGTCCTGCGACGTGTCCTCGGGGGACGTGGACTGGACTACGGAGTTCACAGCAACATGCTTGAACTTTAGCGGTAAAGGCCTGAACCTGCCCTGGAACAGGTCTCTGCAGGCCAGCAGCGTGTTCCTCCTCGACCTGTCTGGAAATGGCCTTCGAGAGCTCCCGTCACCCTTCTTTGCTCACCTGGGGAAGCTGAAGGTCCTGGATGTGACAAACAACCCCCTGGACCATGTAGATACAGTGCTGGCAGAACGCTGTGACCTTGACTTGAAGGCTGACTGCCGCTGTATCCTAGCCTCCTGGCACAAGGTCCGACAGGACAACTGCTCTGGCCAGCTGCCTCTGCAGTGCCTGGATGCAGGCACCTGGCACAACCTCTCCACCTTCTTGGAGGTCAGCTGCTCCCCTGGCCTGGCACCCACAACCATTGGGGCACTGGCAGCCATTGGAAGCCTGCTCCTTGGGCTCTCCATAGCTGGCCCATTGCTGGTCTGGAGACTCCGGGCACGCTGGGCACCCAGTAGCCAGAGCCAGGACAAAACATGGGCTGCTCCAGGTGGTTCCAGACCCAGCTCAGGCTGGCAGCCAAAATACAGTAGCCGGAGCTTCAGCCCTAAGCAACCAGAGGCCACCCTACCCAGACCCCCCACGCCTGACTATGAGAATGTGTTCATTGACCAGCCACCTTCCAGGCACCAGTCGGCCAAACATGGGTGAGTGACCCACACACATCTGCCTGCAAGACTCTGGAGCCAGACAGCTAGGGTTCAAATCCCAGCTCTGCCTCTTGCAGGCTGTGTGATCTCAAGCAATTAGTTTTTCCCTCTCTGGGCCTGTTTCCTCATCTGTAAAATGGGGATAGTAGTGGCCCTCACCTCATGGAGTTGAAGTAGCCCCCACCTCAAGAATGAAGTGAGTTTATATAGATGGGACAAGCTCCCACTTCATGACCTACAAACCCAGTTTCTAGCTGCCAAGGGCAGGGAGAGAGAAGGCAAGTGCTCCAGACAGAGTGGGGACTCTGTGGTAGTGGTCAACAGCCTGGGTGCAGATCTCGTGTAGCCCAGAGCTGTCTCTGAACCACTGTTTCCCTTTCTGTGTAATGGGGACAGCCCTCCCCCATCTCCCTTTGACACATGAGAGATGCTAAGAAAGACATCTGTGCCCATCTCCCCCTACAAAGCCCCAACACTTCTAGTTAAGGCTGGGGATAGGTAGGTTCAACTTTTTCAGATTGGATGAGAAGTGGAGGGAATTTCAGGGGGAGGCACCAGCAGAAACACATGTCAGTAGATGGGAGAGAACAGAGAATCTGCTGTCAGTAGGTTTGGAGACAGTAAGACATTAGAGCTGAGGCTGAAGGGGTTGGGAGGATCCAAGCAAGAAGGGAACAGGGTCCTGGCTGGGTTTCAGTAGTGAGGTCCAGATGTGGAAAGACCAGTAGGAGCCTACTCATGAGAAATGAGAGAATTTGCAAAGCAGATGAAAATATGGCTTAAAAGCAGAAGTGATCTGCAATAGGGATTTGAAGGAACTAGACCTGCTAAGGCAGCTTGTGCTCTGATGCTCGCCTCTGCTTTGCTGTCACTAAGGGCTCAGGGCCAGTCTCTTCTAAAAAGATTTAGGATTGGATGTGTCATTCCCACTCTACATTTTACAGTTGGAGAAAGGTAGGCTCTGGGAGGAAGGGGAATGACTTGCCCAAGGTCACACAGTGAGTCAGAAGCAGAGGTCGGAAACCTCTGACTCTCAGTCCTGTCCATCCCTGTACAACCATATATGTGTTTGGAGTAATTCATACTGAAGTGTGAATGAGTGACAGACACCACTTACCCAAAGTGGCCTTTGTTACAAGAGGACCCAGGGTGGGATTAGGATGTTCTGGAGGCAGGAAAGCTCTTCTCTGGGAGTATTGCCTACCATAGCTAAACATTCCTAAGAAGCAACCTCCTCCCTAACTAACTTTATGGATGCAAAAGCTGAGCCTCAGAGACTTATTTTTATATTGCAGTCATGAAGTCTGCTGCTTCAGGGACTGTGGAAACATTTCCCATCTATAGGGACAGACACTGGCTCCAGCCACTTGTGTTCATGGGGCTGGTGTGACCAGAGCTTCCAATTTTTTGAGAAGAAACTGAAGTCTAGATTTTAATGCAAAAAAATGGGCAACTACCTCAACTTTAAGAAAGAAGAAAAAATGCTACAATAGCTTAAGGTTCTCAGACTGCAGCATTACAATGCTGAATCCACAGAAATTTCCTAGACTCACTGACTCTGACTTCCTTTCCCGGGAAAGTTACAGGTTGGGAAAACAGTGCCCCTTGCTTCAGTTTCTTGATATGTAAATATCAGTAGACTCGGTCACTGAACTTTCTCAAAGCTAATGTGCCTGTTCACTGAGTCCTCCTTCCCACCCATCTGTCCCCACAGGGCTCACCCATCAGAGGATAGCGACTTCTACATGAACTATGAGGACTTCCACCAGGCCTCCCAGCCCATTTACGGCAACCTGCAGTTCCTGGGCGAGGCCCCAGCAGTCGAAGAGGAGTATGTGATCCCAGGGCACTGAACCTGAACTCCAGCATACCCCCTTCTAGGTGATTTGGGTCATTCCAGATCCCCCCTGGCCTGTTTCCCAGTCTGAGGAATGGGGACAGGGAAGAACTGTCCTTGCAGCCCTCTCTCCAGCCCCCACTCTGCTTTTCAGCCGCCTCGGCTGCTAGGAAGGGAAGAGGAAAGATCCCAACACAGACATAGGAAGTTCAAGGTGTAAACTCCATTGTCACCTTCCTCTTGGTGTGCAGATGGTGCTCAATAAACACTGTGGGGCTGATGAGGCTGCTGGCTTAGGGGGAGAAGGTTCGTTTCAATGGAGACTTCCTGAGCTCTTAAGACTAGGTCTCAGACTCCTGAATTTCTCCCCAGTCCCTCCCCCCTGTCCCTCTCAGGCCCCCTTTCCAGGCACCTGGCATCCAGACTCAGCCCCCAGGACAGCCCACGCTAACCCCAGAGGGATTTTTATAACTCATGAATTGGAACTGTGTCCCTTCCCTGCTCTCACACCCTCCATGGCACCCCATTGTCCCTGGATCCTCAGCCTGGTACTTGAGGACTGCATGATCCAACCTTGTCCACCTCACCACCCTTTCCCATACCTCTGACCTTCTGGTCTGGGTGTTATCCCCACCTAGTCCACCTCCCTCCTGAAGTTTCATTTCCTTAAGTCATTTACCCATACCACTCCTTTTGCCAGAATGCCATCCCCTTCCTCTTTTTCTTACTTGTAAACATCTTAATACAAATGCAGAACTATAGCTGGGGCGTCAGGAGGCATGGGTCCAAGTCCTAACTCTGCCATTAACTTCACGGCTCTTAGTTCCCCCATCTGTAAAACGCGGTGTTAGAATTGGTCTCTGTTTTAGCTCTAATATACTGATATCTTAACTCACCCAGAAACAGAAGTACTGAGAGTTGAGGAGACTGAGAGCCAGAGAAACGGAGCTAGACAAGCATGGAGACAGCGGGGTGTGCCAGGCTGCCCCTGAAGCCGTTACAAGCACCATTCAATCGCCTGTCAGCTACAAGAACACCCGGCTGCCCGCTCGCTGAATCCTTCCACTCACCCCTGTATTAGGTCCCCTGTGGGAACTGAGGCCAGGTAGGGGCAAGCTCTTCCCGAGATCCCCAGCTTCACTGGGCATCACAGGAGTCAGGTCAGACAGATTCATCTTTATTACTAGACTTTAAATAAATGCACACCCTGCTGTACCAGCCGTCCCCAGCCCTCCGGTGCTCAGGCCGATAACCCCAATAAATTAATAATAAATATCAACTTATAAATAGAGCGGTTTGGGCGGCAGCCACAGACAGCAGTGGTTAGGATACTTCAGGTGCCACGAACCCATTCCATTCAACAGGCAGGGACTGAGGTCACCTCCACTGTGCACGTGCCGCCAGCGGAGTCCTAGGTCCACTCATAAGCAGTGGCAGTCGTTGGCCACGAGGTCGTCGTAGGGCGTGAGTGACACGCGGCCCTCGCTGTCCCGGTGCAGGAGCACCACGGGCTCGTAGCTGGCGGGCACGCAGCACGGCGCCGGAGCGCCCTCAGGCTTCAGGCGGTGCAGACGCGCCAGCATCTGCGCATGCCTGTTAGCCGACCGGAACTGGCTCGGGCACGCACCGCTGCACATGCGCACATCCAGCTCGCGCGGCGCCATTACCCAGTCGGCCCAGCCCAAGTCGTCGAGCGAAGCGCGCAGGCTCAGCAGGCGGCAGCAGCGCCCTTCCCCCAGCGGGCAGCCGTCCGGAGCGCGCGCATGCGTGCTGCGGCGCCCCCTGCGGGCACGTGGCTGCCAGTGCAGCTCCAAGCGGAGCGGTGAGGAAGTTGCCGCCAACAACTGATCAGACGGCTGCAGCAGATGCAGGCGCAGTGCGGGCTCCCGGAAGATACCGACGCCGATCTGACGCTGCATGGGTCGCGTCACATCCCATGAGCCCGAGTGCGGCGGAGACAGCCTGAGCAGGGCCCGATGCAGGCGGGAGGCTGCGGGGAACCCCTTAGTCAGGTTGGCCCGGGGGATGCCCAGGTGCAGGTGGCCGCCTGGCCCGAGTCTCACTATGGGGGAGAGAGAGGAAGGTCAGTCACCGGGTGTGAGTGAGGGTGCGCATATCCTTCCACAGGCCAGGTTGGACCCCCACCTCAGGGCCCTTGTATAAACCGCTTCCTCTACCAGCCACACTCTTGCCCTGAATCCCTCCAGCCTGTCTAAAATAGGCACCACCCAATTTTCTTTAGTTGTATATAATTTCATTGTGTGGAGGAAGAGGGGCCACATGCTAAACCTGACAAGGTCAGGGAAGCCTGCATGGTGGCCTTGCAAACTCAGAGACCTAAAATAAGCACAAAAGATGGTCTGAAATTAAAACTTTTTAACTAAAAAGCAGTTTATGGTGAGTAGTCATGTCCTAGGTTGGTATCTTCCCTGACAAAGGTGAATCTTTACCTTCACTAAACCTATTGATTGTCCTTTTGTATCTACAATAACATATCCTTGGAATGTCAAAATAATTCTCCTTTTCCCAGACCCCTCAAAGCACAGGCACCGCTCTGCGGAGACCATAAATCCCCTCATTGTTATAGAGTTAATTGTTGACTGTTAACTAAAAGAAGTGTGTCCATCATTTTACTTTTTATCCAATCCCAGAGGTTTCCCCGCCCTGCTTTCTCCCACCTCCCTAATCTATCACCAATGGATTTCAAGTAACTCACGTCTCCTCATTTGATTGTAATGTATAAAACAAAGTGCAAAACTGCCATTCTCCGGAGCATTATCTCAATCCGTTGAGGTTTTGGCCTCCTGGCAGTTGTCGACAGTTTGCCTCAAATAAACTCACAAAAACTCTTTACAGGTTTGAATGATTTCTTATGTCAACAATCGGATTTCTTACATTAACAATCACCCCTACTAGAATCTCAGCAGGGATTTCTGTCTGCCTGGTCACCTGTGCCTGGCACACAGTAGGTGCTTAGTCAGTACTTGCCTGCGATTCATATGCTGATTCTGCCTCCTGCTGGCAGTCAAAAACATTTTCATTGAAGGCCTGTCCTACTAAATGCCTGGGGCTGGGGTTTCAACAATGCAGACACCGTATTTTCAACTCCTTGGGTCTCGGTTTCCTATCAGAGAAATGAAGGGTTCCAGGCTCCCCGGTACTCGCAGGCCCCCAGGCTGGTACAGGTCTTGGGGATACTACTGGGACCTGGCGTTTGAGTTGTTGCATGACCACCACCAGTTTGTTAGGCTGAGAGAGGGCAAGAGGTTTACCTGAGTCTCACACCACCAGTGGGGTTAGGGTGGGATGATATCACTCCTCCTGGTTTGACACCCTCTCCCCAAACCCTCCCAGTTACTAGCACAGCCCAGATCTTTTGCCTCTGTGGAGAGCATGAAAATATTCCCCTCCTTTCAAGGCACCTGTCACGTGGGACTATAGCAGTGCCTACTAGCTGGATTGCATCAGATTCGGAACCAGTCCGTGTCGGTTCTGCCCATTCCTTTGCAGCGCTAAGTCCCGTCTACTCCCCCTCTCATCCCCCCCACCTGCCCCTACATTCAAGGACAGGGACCGCGCCCCCTGCCCGACCTCTTCTCAGGGCTCTCCAGGCTCTGAGCCTTCAAGAGAGTCTGTGGCTTCTCTTGGCCTCAGTTTCCCTATTTGCTATCAGAGGAGATGTAACCCTCCTCTCCCAGTTTGGCTAAGCCTCGCTTGTCCTCGCTCAAACAGGGACGCCAGCTCCCCCATCAGTCCGGAGGGGGGACATTCTTGTCCCGGTCACAGATGGGGAAACTGAGGCTCAGCATCATGCTCCATGACTCAGACCCACTGGTTAGATGATAGAAGCTGCTTGGGTGGGGGGTGAGGGTGTGTATCTGAGATTTCACTCACGCTTTGGGGTAAGTATCTGGACTTGAGTGACAGGGATGAGGTCGGGGTTCGAGTCTTCCCAGGTCTGGTTTGCGCGAAGCCTGCTCAGCAAATCTTCGTAGCGTTTCCGCAACTCCCGGAGTCTGGAGACATTCGGACTGGAGTGTGCATCTGAGTGTCCTGGGAGGACCGGGACGCGCTCCTGGGCCAGAGATAGGGCGCCTCCCGATGGCAGCCACGAGAGCGTCAGCAGCACAAGCAGCATCGCAGGGCAGCACGGCGTTGGGTCCCTTCCCATTTACAGCTATGCTCCTTGTGCTCAAAGCTGAGACTGACTGGACGCTGCTGGCCAGACCTTTATATTCCCCGGACTTTGTCCGCCCCCGCCTGCCTGGACCAGGCCGCCAGGGGTGCACAGTAAACACTACAGGGACCACAGCTGGGCAGGGTCTGTGGCTGCTTTTCAGGGGAAGATATTTGGGGGGTGCTCCTGGGGAAGCTGGTGAACCCCACCACCACCACCCAGGAGTGCCTCTGAGCCCTAGTAGTATCTTCTGTGAAATGGGGACATCATCCCAGCTTGGTGGGCTGATGGGAAGAATTACTTTCCAAAAAAAAACCATTATTATGTGCTAGACTCCATAGCAAGAGCTTAAGAAGTGGCCTTTTTCCTGGATGGTGTTTCCTCTCTTCCCTCTCTGGTTAGAGCCAAAGGCTGAGAATGTTGAAAAACAAAGCAGAGGAGAAAGAGCCAGAAAGAGCCAAAAAGTGTTACCTGAGGCAAGTCATTCATCTCCATCACACCTCTGTTTCTTCATCTGGGAAATAAGGACTGAGACTTTCACTGGAGAGGTTATGTGATGTATAAAGGTCAAGCCCAGGAATATAATAGGTGCTTCATACACTGGGTGGTTTTTGCAGTTACTCAGGGGCAAGTATAAAGCTACCCTGGGCACCAATTCCTTGGCTGGACCCAGAGAGTAGGTGGCAAAGAATTGGAGTAGTGCAGTTTAGAGCAGGGAAGGTCAGTGTCAGGTCCAGCCACCAGATGGTGAAGGGGCAGCAGGTGCCCCAGGAACACCCTTCCCCTTGGTCATGCAGACCTTTTTCCACTGCTCAGGACTCCTGGCCCTGGGCACTGGCCCCTGTGCCATGGAGAAGATGGGCAGCTGTGTGAGGCAGATGGTGGAAGCGTGTGAAGTGTGATAGGATTGTGTAGGCAAGAAGTACAAGGATCATTGGGGGCCACACAGCTGTGCTCCCATGGCAAGAATGGAGCTCAGCCTTCTTTCCCAGCACACATACACAGGCTGTGCAAGGCCAGTCAAGCCTAGCCCCCTCCCCATCCTCCATTCTCAGCCTCAGCTCTGTGCAGTGGGGTTATACCAGGCGACTGGAAAGTCTTGAGCCTCCCAGATAATCTGCAGGTGCTCAGTAAACACATGTGCTCACCCTACCATCCTGATTACAGCAGGTTGGGAGGCTGGGCCTCTTGCCCCACCAGCTTAGCACAAAGTTAAGTGCTCAATAGAGGATGTGGGGTTGACTAGGCAAGGAACTAGGGCTCCCTCCACAGCCACCACGACACACAACAGCAGAGACCAGGCCCCAGAGTTACTCCAGAGTGCTGAGTCATCCTCACATGGCAGGGAAAGGTCAGCAAGGGCCGTGGAGGCTATGGCTGACCTGGGGGTGGGCCAGGCAAAGGGGGTGCTGTCTGAGGTGGCAGTCTGCAGATCAATAACAATGAGACTGCAATATTCACTGGACTTCAGGTGGCAGGCACCATTCACACACATTTCCATGAATGGATAAGGGAACCAAACCCCAGTGGCACAAGTAGATAAATAGGTTTTAGAGGGTGACTCCATAATGGGAACCTCCCATGTGTCCAGCCTTCCACTGGACGATCTGTTTCCCTGGCATTTCTTTTTTCTTTTTTTTTTTAAATATATCTTTATTGATTTCACAGAGAGGAAAGGAGAGGGAGAGAGAGAGAAACAGCAGTGATGAGAAAGTCATTGATCAGCTGCCTCCTGCACGCCCCTGACTGGGGATCGAACCCACAACCCGGGCATGTGCCCTGACCGGGAATTGAACCCTGATCGCCTGTATCCTAGGTCGATGCTCAACTGCTGAGCCACTCCCGGCCGGGCTCCCCAGCATTTCTAGGCCTGGGATGGGACTCTGAAGTTCCCTCTGTCTGTTTATGGTTTTTCCCGAATGTAAAAGTTTCCAAGAGTTTGCTCTGATCTGGTCCCAACAACCTAGACAGCTATCAGCTCCAAAGAAGCCAGCCTGGATTCACATTCCCACCCCTCTTCTCCCTGGCTGTGGCACATGGGACAAGGGGCTTCGACTGGCAGAGCCTCAGTTTCCCCACCTGTAAAAGGTGGTAACAGATCTTGTGTCAGGAGGGGACACAGGGAATGGGGGTTTTACACATGCTGGGGGTTAACACAATCATAATTCAAATTTCAGCACCACCCCTTTGCTATGTGACCGAGAGGGTCTGTGCTTGGATCTGTCTGGCCCAGACTGGGGGTTCCTGGAAGGCTGGGGCAAGGATAAAGCCACTCTGGGCTCCAGTCCCTTGGCTGGGCCCAGAGAGGAGGTGGCAAGGAAGTGGGGTGTTGAGGTTTGGGGCAGAAAGGGCTGGTGTCAGGACTAGCCACCGGATGGTGAAGGGGCGTGGAGTGCTCCAGGAACCCTTCCCCCTGGGTCACCCAAACCTTCCTCCACTGCTCAGGACTCCTGGCCCCAGGTACAGGCCCCCATGCCATGGAGAAGATGGGCAGATGGTAGGTGAAAGGTTAAGGTCAGTGGTGCCATCTCAGGCTGTAAATTAAGAAAAAAATGAATTTATTTAGGGAAAAGGGGTTAAAGATATCCAAAGGGAAGGGCTACATAGCACTGAGTCGAAGGGTACTGGGTCCACGATGGCAGCAAAAATATACTTAGGACAGTGAAACAAGAAAAGCCATAGAAGAAGCAACAGGAGAGCCGAGGCAGGGCTGCTTTGGCTCACTGAGAAGTCAGAGAGAGAAGGGGGCCTTGGAGACAGGTTCCGGGGGTAAGCCCGGGACAAGCTGCCACTGCCCATTGCTCCTCTCATTGCCAATCTCATGGGGTCCCCTTGGAGGGAAGAAGGGGGAAGGAGATGGCGCTGGCGTGCTCCCCTGGTGGGGAGCCCGCACTGGGTCCTTTGTCCTGAGCATATTAATCTCTTTCTTTCTTTTTAAAATCCTCACCTGAGGATGTTTTCATTGAGAGAGAGAGAGGGAGAAAGAGAGAGAGAGAAACACTGATGTGTGAGAGGGCGGGGGATCAAACCTACAACCTAGGTATGTGCTCTGACCGGGAACTGAACCTGCAGCCTTTCAGTGCACAGGATGATGCTCCTACTGACTGAACCACTCTAACCAGGGCCTCCATATACTTTCTTGGTTTGGGGAAATGAGCAAGCTATCTTTCAAACTGTCCAACCTTCTTCCTAAATCTTCATGGGCTTCTGCTGGGCCCTCCCCCTAATCAATCCCTTTCCTGGATCATTCCGCATTCTGCACCCTCACCCAATCTGATCCTTTCCCCAGATTTTTCCAGGCTAGACTTTGCCCCTTTATGTACCTCCTTTGGCTCCCACTGCACTTGCCTCAAATTCTGCTGTGTCATCTGGTTTCTCCTGTGCATGTGCTTACCTCCCCCTGTGCCATCTAGGCTTCTACTGTGCATGCGACTAGCAAAGGACTTCCCCTGCTGTTTTATCCCTGCTCCTGGGTAATCCAGGCTAAGGACGGGTAGCTTCTTCCTGCCCGCTTGGGGGATTAGGTCCCCTCAGCAGAGGATGTGGCAGTCCCCTCGTGAGCCTGTAAATACTGTGGCTCCTAGTGAATGAGGCTTAATGTACAATTCAGCTCCCTAGTGGATTAGGCTTAGTGTCTGATTTCATTTGCTCCTTTCCCTTATTAATACTAAATAGCTACATAACTAATAATATCACACATGTAACTGGAAACACATATGTGGCCATTTGTGTCTGTCTTCTCCCTCTCAGCCTGTTTTAAAGGTTCATCCACACTGTAGCATGTGTCAGTGCTACATTCCTTTTTATGGCTGAGTAATATTCCATTGTATGAATACATCTCATTTTGTTTATCCATTCATCCATTGGTGGCCATTTGGGTTGTTTCCAACTTTTGGCATTTGTGGATGGGGCTGCTATGAACATTCATATACAATATTTGAGCACCTGTTTTCATTTTTTGTGAGGATACACCCAGAAGTGGAATTGCTGGGTTATACCATCATTCTATGTTTTACTTTTTGAGGAGTCTCCAGAATGTATCCCACAGCCTCTGCCTTTTCATTGTTAAGCTTTGATTGAGATACAAATTTCATAAGGAAAAAGGACTAATCTTAATTTCAGCTCAGTGACATTTTACAATGATATGGCCAGGGGACTGCTTCCTGAATGAGGTTCCAGAACATTCCCAGTCTAGGAGTACCCTGGGCTCTCTCCCATCACTCTCCCCACCCCTGGATACCAGCCTTGCCCACCTCTGTTACCATGGATGTGTTTGCCTTTTCCCCATGATGTAAAGAAACCAGCAGTGCATTCTTTTCTAGCGGCATCTTTCACTCAACATCACTTCCACGAATGTTCTTTGTTATCTGCTGGGTGGTTTGTATTTTTCCTTGCTATATAGTATTCCACCGTGCGTATTCAGGAGTGAAGCTGCTGACTCATGAGTGGGCATCTCTCACTTTACGATCACGACCAGTAATCAGTGTCAATGTAAGAGACATCCGAACCTGTAGAGAATTTTGTAAATTTATTTGAGCAAAACTGACGGCAGTTGCCAGAAAGTAAAATCTCAAATGATTGAGAAAATACTCAGGAAAATGGTACTTCTGCAGTGTATTTTATACATTACAATCAAAGGAGGAGACGTAAGGCGGGTTACATGAAACCCATTAGTGGTAGATTGGGGAGGTGGGAGAAAGCAAAGCAGAGAAATCTCAGATTGGGTAAAGAGTAAAATGGAGAAACAAATACTTCTTTTACATTGGTGGGTACAGGATAGTTAACAATTAACATTCACAGCACATACAGATGGTATGTGGGGAGCAAGGTAACAATGAGGGGTCCTGTGGTCTCTTGCTCTGGTGAGAGATTGTACCCTGAAAGGATTTCTCCAACATTCCAAAGGTATGTTATCATAGATGCAAAAAGACAATATACAGGTTTAGTTGAGGTAAAGATTA